GCTTGCATTCAACGGACACAAAAAGCACATTCCACGGAATTTACAATCGGCATTCTGGAAACGTGCTACCATATTTTCCGATGAGGCATGAACGACCAGGTGGATTGGATCAATTGAAGATTGATCGTCAGTCGTAATTACGATCAGTTTGGGAATGTCAGCTGTGTTTCTGATAACCGCAATAGCTGGCAGTTCTGCACGCGCAATTGTCTGAGATCCTTTAACATGAGCAAGAAGCTACTAGTAACAAGGGCATCGTTAGGAACAAGGGCATCGCCACTAGTAGCAAGAAGCTACTAGTAGCAAGAACGGGCTTTAAAAAAGAAATGATAAATTGAGCAAAATGATTGTCGGCTGAAAGCTGGACCACCGCCCATGCTACATGCACCTTGAAACGACAGTTCCTGGATCAATGGAATGTTAGGGTCTTGATACGAAGTTGGAGCCACAGGTGCGTACAGGTGCAGTGGTTCTTGCAATGCCTTAATTGCCTGGGGATTAGAATCCAGAATGTTAAAAGCTTTCTATATGCATGGGTATCCCAGCCACCGCATTGTGGGCATTTGTCTTCCTGTGCTTGAAAGCCCCCAGTCATGTCTCCAGCGAATCGTGTCACTTCAGCGGTATGAAGTCTGCGAAAGGCGCCAAGATTTGACGGTCAAAAAAAAGCATTAGGAATACCCTTAGGGGGCTTAAGGCATGAATGAAAAAAAGACCGGGCGTCTGCCACTGCTGCATATCGCCGCATTGTCCAAACATTATCAAACAATTTTGTGTCAAGTCGATTGGCGATGAGGACGCACAATGGATAGTGCGGGTCGGTCGTGCTATATAGAAGCAGGTCTTGTATTGATGCAAGTATATAGTCCATGACCACGTGTGTGTGTGTGGATATACTACTAAGGAACAAAAAGCTACTAGTAACAAGGGCATCGCTACTAGGAGCAAGGAAGCTACTAGGGGCTCCTGGCCATACTACTAGGAACAAGAAGCTACTAGTAACAAGGGCATACACCTATTACTCTTCAGCTCCCAAAGAGCCTGTGTGGTTTCTCCGCGCTTATGAAGATGTCACCCATTGGTTGTGTTTCTGCGCCGAAGAAGATACCCGAGTGGCACACCTTTAGTGTAATGCATAATGCATCCAAGGTCTTGAACTGCGTTATGAATTTGGATGGAAGGTTTATCGGCCTCGCAAACAAGAAGCTACTAGGTTGGAGGCCATCGCTGCTAGTAACAAATGCAACTAAAATCAAATAGAAAACCATATATATATATAGAGAGAGAGGTGTGCATAAAATGTCTTTAGTTTATGTTTCTTTCTACCAAGACTCGTGCGAGTCCTTCACTGACGGCTTGCGGTGCGTCGTTGCCCAGCAATGGAAAGCAGCCCATCGAAGCGAACGAGTGGAAATCGTTCATCAAAACGACCTGAAACAAAAACAAAGGTCGTTACTACTAGCTTCTTGTTACTACTAGTAAGGCACTTCTTCTAATCTAAACAAAGTACCTTTTCATATCTAAAAACATTTACAACAACCCACAAAGTCACCAAGCATTGCAAAGCATTCTACATGTGTCTCACATCGGAAACAGAACATGTCTGGAAAATGTTAACTTATGTGAACTTATGCGTCCAACACACAGGCCTCTAGAATTCTTGGTCAATTGGAAGATGTGCAACCATGAGAATTGCAGCTGAATTCACCAAATCTCGATTTAGAAAAAACAACATTCTACGACATCCGAAACAAATTATCTTTTTCCAAAACAAAGACGAACTGCAAGGCCATAGGTCAGCCGGACGATGGAGTCAAAACCAGTCTGATACATTTCCTTCTTTGGACCTTTATCTGCCGAACCCGGCGCCAACAAGGCAGCTTTGCGTTTTGCTCTTTCTTTTGGCACAACAAAGAGCGGTCCTATCTGCATGGTGTGTCCACTCCGTCCCTCATTTGACCCACAGGCCTTGGACGGGTCCACCTACGACGCGAGCATCCAAAAGGACATACTGACATACTGCTCTCCTTCTATTCCTTTATGCTCTGAGTGCCCACAAGCTGACAGCATGTGTTTTGTACATCTGACCGTTTGGTTCTTTTTGTGAACATGTCAACACAGAATGTCAACATATGTAGCTCGTGCTTTCTCAAAATCATGTCTCAAGACAGTTTACGCTTTCTCTGAACTCGAATGCTTCTGGTCACACAGGTCGACACCTCTGTGCGGCTGTGAAGATGGGAGACAAGTCGGAACAAACCACAAAGAAGGGCCTCAGATCTGAGCACCTCTGAATCTGAAAAAGCGTAGAAAAGGCACTGAGGAAAGGGGCAATCGTTCGTTCTAAGCTTCAAAAGGGAGCCTGTGGAGCTCAGAACTGCTTACAAGTCAGACTGCTTGAAACTCCTCACAAAAGAATGACCGTATGTTTTACACTGCCCAGCGTGGAGATAATGTTGCTGTGAACACCATTCTCTAGATGTTGTCTGAGAGTTGCAATCGTCCACCTAAAGCGCAGAAAGGACCCATAGGCTTAACATGGACTAACCAAGAACGGTGAAATGATGTGAATTGAACTTACAAAATCAGCCACTGCGAATTGGATTGCCCACTTTGATCATTCTAAAAGCATCCAATCAGCTAAGCTGCAACAAATAACACCGCCACCATCAGCACAGTGCATCGTGTACTCCACAGTTGCCGCTCTTCACGGTGCATATTGTAGTAGGCCAAGAAGAATGCCTGTCTGTTGCATTCGAGAGGAACGCCTGTGGAGCTATTTGGTTGCTAACCGCACTTTAAGGGATGCCACGCAGTGCTTTGTGCATGACATGGTTGTGAATCGTCCTGAGGGCTGCATGTGCGATTGCTGCTCTCACTCTTGTCTGGAGTGCACTGTGCTTTGCTCCAAAAAATCTAGGAACCAAATGATCAGTGCGAGCCCTTCATCAAGGAAGCTCCCCCCTTAGCTCCTTGAAGCGTCTTAGCTATCCTGCCTAGAAGCTAACTCAGCCTAGTAGCGAACTAGTCGCCCGTACTTAATTGAGTAGGCAGGGCGGGGAGCGGGCAAACAATAGCTTTATGGTTACTTGTAGTAAGGCCAAGAGCTACTAGTAGCGTCCTTGCTCCTAGTAGCGATGCCCTTTGCTCCTAGTAGCGTCCGTGCTCCTAGTAGTAAGGCCAGGAGCCCCTAGCAGCGTCCTAGTGTAAGGCAGGGCGGGGAGCGGGCTTAAAACAGTGGTGCAATTTCACAGCTGGTGATGTGGCCTAGTGGTGACCTGTGATGTGGTGAAGTGGTGTAATAACTTGTCATGTGGTGTTACAGGAGTGCTCTTCTTCAAGAAGCATTTACAAAAGGTGTCTCGCAAGAGTTCTGCATAAGAGTGTCCCGCGAGCATGCTTGCAAAAGAGTATCACAAGAGTTTCTCGCAAAAGAGCTGTATGAAACGAAACATGTCTTATGAAATTATGTTGCAGAGTGTTTGTGTTTTTTTGCAGTAGTGTCTCAAAGGAGTGGCGCAAGAGCGTGGAGCAAAAGTGTCTTATATGACTGTTTCACACAAAAGGGGTGTCTGTTTGAGTTTGTATGTCTTACAAAAAGGGTCTCCCAAAAGTGTCCCGAGACAAAACGTTTGCAACTGTGTGATGAGGTGTGTAGTGTGGTGCTTGAAGAATGGCTGCTTAAAACATGTGAGCAAGTCACACTCTATTCTCTTACGCTCAAAGCACCATGTTTGCCGGGTTCCTATCCTGCATGCTTTGGACACCACAGTTAGGAAGCAAACATCCACCATTTCATGATTTTGGAAGGCGGACATTCCTTCATTCGCTCTGAGAACAGGAGGGGAGAAGACCACCATATTCCTCACTGTACCAACTGTGATTGCTGTGTTTGGCAGGGCATGGCGGTATGGTAGTTCAAAAAAGATGTACACAAAATAACGATGGCCTCCAACCTACTAGCGACTTATCCTCCAACCTACTAGCGATGGTTTCCACAATTGTTTTTTAACTGTATACAGTTCAAACCTTGATGCCTCTGGAAAGCTGATTGATTAGAGCCATGTCTTGCCGTCTGGATTCCAGGCGTCAAAGCTTGTTTGCACATGGCCCTCAAAGCAGAAGCTGTCAGAAGCACGTTATTAAAGAATTTCCCGAAGCCTCTATTAAAGTGGGTGCTATTCCTATCGCAGTTTCGGAGTGGCAACAATACACAAGGCTGCTATACGTCTCCAATTTTTCTAGTAACAAAAAATTCCTTGGGAATGGTTTCACTGGGAACCGTTTCACCTGTAGCAACAAGAAGTGTTGTTTAATTCTATCCTAAGAAGGGAGGGGACGAAAGCCAGCCTCTGTAAGAAGACATCAACATGGCAATGGGGGTGAAGTCGAGAGCGCACTGGAACAGTGTCAAGAATCGGAAATAAAAGGCAGCGGCGGAGAGTCGTAGTAAAGGTGGGGGAGTGGGGTGCCCCTGCTGTTGTTGCTGAAGGGGCGTGTGAAAATAGAAAAGCGCACTCCCAAGTAACGCAGGGGCGTTGGCGTGCTGTTGGTTTGTTTTGTGTTGCCGACAGACAGACTCATAGACTCATAAAGTCGGTGTGCTGCTAAGAGTGGACCGGGGAAAGGTTACTGCTGAGATCACGACCCCAAAGGAACTCAGGGGCGCTTGCCCGCAGTTTGTTATTCATGTCCTGTAGATGGACTCAAAGACTTGGCATGCAAGGTCAAGTGATTGGCTAACATCAGGCAAAGGGTACTTTTGTGACATCGCAGCCACCCAAATGCCAGGCAGTACGCCCCAGCAGACCCGAATGGCTGCGGTGCACAAGATCAAACAAGCAGTGAAGAAATCGATAGGCCGTCCAAAGAGGTCATGGGGGGTGAAAGCTTGCCCACTGCGTTCTGTTCCCAGCGACTGTTTGGCTTTGGAAAGAAGGCGACAGTCAATGTTCTTCCCAGACTTGCTTCGGCTACTTCGAGCTACTCCTTTTCCAGAGGTTCTTGTTCCAAAGGTTCAACCATCGCCATTAGGTTGGAGGCCATCGCTACTAGTAACATGAAGCTTTTTAGTAATTAGAAGCTACTAGGTGGAGGCCATCGCTGCTAGGTTGGAGGCCATCGCTACTAGTAACAAAAAGCTTTTTAGAAATAGTATGTCTTTTGAAGCTTCTTCGTAACTAGAAGCTACTAGGTGGAGGCCATTGCTATTGGGTTGGAGGCCATCGCTACTAG